CATACCACTCCAGACCTCCCTCATGTTATTCTGCTGGAGTTTCCTCTCCAGCTTCCTCCTGTAGCCGTCCTTAGCCTCTTTGATCTTTGCACTCAGCTCCCTCTGAATGTCCCTCAGCTCCTCCCTGTTGCCACCTCTGAAAGCCCTCTTCTTCTGGTTGAGTACGGCTTTGATGTCCTTTGTTACCCAAGGCTTGTTGTTTGGGTAACAACGCACAGTCCTTGCTGGGACAATGCCGTCCACACAGAAATTAATGTAGTCCGTAATGCTCTCAGTAAGCCCATCAATGTCCTCTCCATGTGGCTCACAGAGTACATTCCAGTCAGTCATCTCAAAACAGCCCTGCAGTACCTCATAGCAGTCCTCTGACCATGTCCTCACTGTCTTTGTGGTCACAGACAGCCTCTTCACTAGAGGCACATAGCAGAGGGTGAGAAGCACCAAGTTATGATCTGATCTTCCCAGCGGGGGAAGGGACGTGGAGGTGTATGCGTCCTTTACATTAGCATACAGCAGGTCCAGGCTCTTCTCCTCTCTGGTTTTACAGGTCACATACTGGGTGAATTTCGGGAGTGTCTTTTTCATAGAGACATGGTTGAAGTCACCCGAGATTATAATGAGAGCACTCGGGTGTGCAGTCTGTAGTCCGGCTATTGTAGAGTGGATGACGTCATATGCCGACGTCAGGTTAGCGGACGGGGGAATATGCACAGCCACTACAATAGCATGTGAGAATTCACGGGGTAAATAGTAAGGACGGAGGCCCACAGCTAACAGTTCAATATCTGGGCTGCAGATGCGGTCATTGACTGTGATGTGACCAGGATTGCACCACCTATTTTTCACGTAAACAGCAAGCCCACCTCCTTTACGCTTACTGCTCTTAGTGCAGTCCCTGTTAGCTCGGACAGTGTGGAAACCCACGGTGGAAACATTGTGGTTAGGAACATCCGTGTGTAGCCATGACTCCGAGAAAATCATCAGACTACACTCCCAGTATTCCTGATGACTCCGGGTTAGCGCTGTAAGCTCGTCCATCTTATTCCCCAGTGATCTCACGTTGCCCATGTTGATAGATGGGAGACACGGCTTGTATGTCTTCCTCTCCATAAGTCTCCGGTGTTTCACTCCTTTCCGCCGCTGTAGCGATCCTTTCCCTCTGCATCCCCGGTGTGTTTTCCTCCAAAGTTCAGCGGGGATATCTTTCATCACCGTAGCCAGGCTGGCCAGCTTCAGCTCCATCAGTTGATCCCTGAAGTAAACAATGCAGTGTTGCTGAGCGACGGTCGAGTGGCAGAGTAAAAGGAGTGATTCCACCACAAGCGAAACAACAAAAACTCTCCACACAAGCATGATTAGAGAGGACGTAGCTTAATAAATAACTAAAGTAAAAACAGAACAAGTGAAAACAAAGTTAAAGTAAGCAGGAGCGACTGGAACAGGCTGCATACACTGCGGCGCATGCGCACTCAAGGGTTAATAATAAAGGGTTTGTGTTAAATGTCGACATTTAAATATTTTTCTCTGTAATTTGTGTCTCAGTCTTGGGTTTCTGCATGGCATCCCTCCGGTGAGGCCTCATCTGGGCATCTGGCACGCACCAGGCGGCAGCAGCACTTCAAGAATGAGTGGGCAACATGGAGCGGCTGGTCTGTCTGCTCACGTAGCTGTGGGGGCGGAGCATCAGTGAGAAAACGCACCTGCATCACCAGGTAAATGTTCAACAGGGTCATGTAGGATAAAGTATTTCAATTAGGTTCCCAGTGATCCTCAGAAATCATTTCAAAAGTCTGCTGTTTATTTTTTAGAGGTGGAATGTAACAACGTACATTTATTGAAGTACAGTTCTGAGGTACTTGTATTTACTTGGGTATTTCCATTTTATGCTACTTTATACTTCTACTCAGTGGTGGACAGTAATGAAGTAAGTTTACTTGAGTACTGTACTTGAGTAAATTTTTTGAGTATCTGTACTTTACTTGAGTATTATTTTGGGGGGATACTTTTACTTTTACTCCACTACATTTGAAGGACAAATATTGTACTTTTTACTCCACTACATTTCTATTGATGTTCTCGTTGCCCCCTACTTTTGCTGTTACGTCAGCTGATGAATTTTCTTCTTTTTTTTTTGCTAAATTCTGATACCAAAGAAAATAAACTGTTTCTGCTGATTCGTGTATGGTTTGTCTTAGTCGTATTGCCGTACCTGTAGTACGTCATGCTTAAAACGAAATTTCTTTTTTCATATTACAAGCAAAAAAACTTGCTCCACTGGCAGATTTTCTACTTATTTCAAATGAAAATTAGCTTGAAACAAGTGAAAATTGTCTAAAAACAAGTTACCTTTTAGGTGATGTTTCTTATTTTAAGTGTAATGAGATTTGTTTTGACTAGAAATGAGACATTTTGACTAGAAATAAGAAAAATATTCTTGGAAAGATTTTGAGATTTTGCAGTGTATACTTCATAATGTGTTCAAATGTAACTACAAGAAAATGAAATTTGGGTTTTTGTGAGAAAAATACAGTTGGGGGTGAAATTTATTTTCTTGGCAATATGAAGCAATTTCATTTGTTGATGAATGCAGATGAGTTTGTGTTCTGAGGCTTCTTGCCTTTATTTGTTTATTTTTGAGCTATAAACATTTCTGTAGCAGAATTGCATCAGAATGACAAAGCTACTTTCCTTTCCTGTATTTCCTGAGATTTTTTTAAAGTACTTTTACTTAAGTAATTTTTTAAGCAAATACTTTAGTACTTTTACTTAAGTAATATTTTGACTGAGCTACTTATACTTGTATTGGAGTAATATTTGACAAGGAGTATCTGTACTTTTACTCAAGTAGTGAAGTTGTGTACTCTGTCCACCTCTGCTTCTACTTCATTACAGTTCAAGGGCAAATGTTGCTGCTCTTCTGTAGCTCTCACCTATCTCTTCTGTCCTAAGACGACCACAGGCAGATGTGTGATGGTGTCACAGCGGGTTGATCCGGCAGCGCCTGGTCTAACCTGTATAACCTGTATGTACAGCAGCAACAAAAAGTTAGCTGATCTGGCAGGGAGTTGGGGCTGTCTGATCCCCCAGAGGTGGGGTTTGCACTAGCTGGATTTGGTTGCTGTAGCCACTGACTGGGGGTCAGTCTCCAGAGCTGCTACCCACTCTCCTCTCTGCAAGGTGGTCTGTAATGATGCAAGTAAGGTGGAGGATACACTGTAGTTTGAGGCTCTGGCTAATGTTAGCTACATAAATGTGATGATCATAAAGCTACTGCCATGAGTCTTTAGCTCCAGTTAGCAGAATGTTAAACTATATATACAACTTATCTGTTCTGTACGACATCTATTGTACGTCTGTCCGTCCTGGAAGAAGGATCCCTCCTCAGTTGCTCTTCCTGAGGTTTCTACCATTTTTTTCCCCATTAACCCTACGGGCCCGAACGACGCATAGTGCGTCCAAATTCACACCTGTTCTTCTCTATGGATTTTCTCCACAACCGTTTGTCATAGCAAGAAGCCACTTGTCGGTAGTCCAATGCTTTCACAGCGAAAAAAATGATAAAGTTACACTAAAATTATGTATAACAGAGCTTTCATACAGCTTTGCACACACATTACTCTTGGATGGATTACTCGCGAATGCAGGATTGCACAGAAATGACACGCATATCACATGAAAGCGCAGGAGCAGAGATTTCCAGTGATACCACACACATAATTGTGCTGTCATCCATATACACTGTGGGGAACACTTGCCCCCCCACCAATGCCCAAAATGTCCCCCCAATATATAACTGAAACTGAAAAACAAATATTATCTTGGAGGACATCATTGCACTTGGTTGACTATTTTTCTATTGTCTTAGATGTAAATATTGCATGTTTCTTTCAGATAAAACACAGTTTTGACTTGTGAATGAGTCAATGGAATTTCTTGCAATAATGAAAAAATACTGGCAATCATGTCCGCCTGGCACAAACCACATGTTTTGGACAACTGTGAAGTGAATGTCCCACCATCATGGTTCTTATATTGTCAGATTCCAGAGAGTCTCCCCTCTTCATATATGGCAGAATATGTCATTTTCCAACTTGCTATGGTGAGATACATGTCAAAATGTAAGAATTTAGTCATACAGATTTGTTTTTTCATTGATATAAAAATTAATATAAAATACAGGCGCATAGGAGGACATGTAATGATGGCAAATCTGGTTAGCCCAGATTGTCCTGAAAAAAAACAAGATATAGCATGCCTTTATAATGAGTGTGATATGAGCTTAAAAGTAAAGGCAGTAAAAATACCCCAAAAAGGCCCAGGGCCCATAGGGTTAAAGGTTTTTTTGGGGGGGGGGGGTGTGTTTCCTTTTCCACTGTGAGGGTCCAAAGGACAGAGGGATGTCGTATGCTGTAAAGCCCTCTGAGGCAAATTGTGATTTGTTATATTGGGCTTTATAAATAAAATTGAATTGAATTGAATTGAATTGAATTGAATCTCTCCATCTCAAAAACACTTTTCAGATAGTCCCTTTTTTACTCTCTCTTTGATAAGTCTGTCTCTCTTTTTTGGGTTGTTTTGTAGTGAAGGCAGTTTTGTTGCCAATATGCATTTATTATGTTCAATTGAATTGAATTGAATTGAATTGGGGTGGCACAGTGGTGTGGTGGATAGCACTGTCGTCTCACAGCAAGAGGGTTCCTGGTTTGATCCCAGGAGGGAGCCTTCTGTGCGGAGTTTGTATGTTCTCCCTGTGTCAGTGTGGGTTTTCTCCAGGTACTCCGGCTTCCTCCCACAGTCCAAAGACATGCAGGTTGGGGATAGGTTAATTGGGGACTCTAAATTGTCTGTTGGTGTGAGTGTGAATGTGAATGATTGTCTGTCTCTATGTGTCAGCCCTACGATAGTCTGGCGACCTGTCCAGGGTGTACCCTGCCTCTTGCCCAATGTCAACTGGGATAGGCTCCAGCCCCCCTGCGACCCCCAAGAGGATAAGCGGTTATGAAAAGGGAATTGAATTGAATTGGATGAATTGTATGCTGGAATATCAACTTTTTCTGCGGCATTCTCCAACATTGAATCAGGCTTTCACCATCTAAAGGGACATGCGCACACATCTTCATCTGTGGGGCAGCCAAAAGGAACACCCTCTTTCTCTAAAATGATCTGTGATGGGCCCAAGTCTCCTGTCATAGGCTAGATTTTCTTAAGTCTTAAAACAGAGCCAAGAGTAGGTGCAGATGTGTAGTTTTCTCTTAGATCACTTGAATTACAATATGCTCAAATTTATTTGGGATTTTTGCCCAGTGATGCCAAAATTAAACGGCCTGTCCCAGTTTTAATAAAAAATATAAATCAACTAACAAATGATGATGTATTATTATAAACTACCCAACAGTATATGAAGTACTTAAAATGAGCTCCACCTTTACCAGCTGCACCATTAAAGCTATGAACACATTAATGCATCAATAATTATAATTCAGTAATATAATATGTACTCTTCTGCAAAATCAGTAATTTTACTTTTAGTATATCATGTATGTTTTGATGCTGACACTTTTGTGCTGTTACATCAGAGTCTGAATGCAGGACTTTTACTTGTATTGAGTATTTCACACCGTAGTATAACTGCTTTTGATCTGAATACTTGCTTCACCAATGTCCATTTTTGTATTGTCAGAGAAACCTGTAACATATTTTAAACAATATATTTGATTTTTTTTCTTACAGCGGAAACAGTTTTATATATGTATGAATGTATGTATGTATGGATGGATGGATGGATGGATGTATTTATTTATTTATTGCAAATATTGGAACAACATTCAAATGCTTTGCTAATACATTTAAAATGTATCTACATGTGGGCATTTGCCAGTAACGTATTCTATATTTTATAATCAAGTTCAATAATTTCCACCGCAAAATGCCGCAGATGTGTATGAGTCTAATTTCTAACCCAGATTTTATGTCTCCATGCACCCAAGAGGACACTGATCACAGCAGTTTTATGGTCAGTCAGAACAGTTTGCGATGAGACATACAAATCAATGCTAACATACAACTACAGACTGGATACGCAGTAAACAATATCATTAAAATCAAACATTCACCTATTAAAATAAATACTAAAGCCCCATTTTATAAAAAATGACACTGAAATGAAGTGTGTTTTTTATGTGTCAAATCTATATGCGTTTTGTGTATGAGAGACAGTAGACTTAACAGCAACCTGCACACTCTCACTACATACACTAGTTTCCAGTTGACAGTCAAACTCTTTTTGTTTTGTTTGTTTTTGTTTGCCATTTTTAGTCCCATAAATCTCTTTTTTCTTGTGTGTTCCAGGAACCCAGTGGGTGGACCATGTACAGGAGATCCCAGACAATACAAGATCTGCAACACTAAGGTCATTTCAGTATTAAGCTTTTCACATTGCATGAAAAACTGACTTTCGATCCAAGTGTTTTAGAACAATAGATGGTGTTTGCTTTAAAAGTTGGTCATAAAGGTGTATTGGGGGCAGGTATAGCAGGGTGTGATCTGGAATTTCACTGTGATATCAACTTGTGTCGTCACTGCACTGCTTTGCACTGAACTCTGTCAGGCATCAGACCTGCTATTGTGTTGAGGTCAGCAGCTGTGTGTCAGACATGGTGTGTGTGTGTGTGTGTGTGTGTGTGTGTGTGTGTGTGTGTGTGTGTGTGCGCGCGCGCGTGTGTGTTTGTTTGGGGAGGTTGGGTTTAGACAGCCAGTCACTGTGGCCTATATTGATTAAAGGAAAAACACAGATGAGTTGCAGTTAGTTTAAGCATACTTGGATGTGTGTGTGTGTGTGTGTGTGTGTGTGTGTGTGGCTGTTTGTTTTGTGTGAGTTGCTCAGAGCTTCGAATGAATGGACACAATGGGCATGATGTTTTCCAAACATCTGGGGACTCACCACAAGGTTATTCATTTACTTGAGGGCTTGATTAGAATTATAACAAGGTGAAGGTTTGGATGACAGTAGGGTTAGGTATGAAGTTCTCTGGTTGAGTTTGAGATAAACTTTAAGGGAATGAATGGAGTTATCACAATGCAATACAAAATTCTGAAAATGTTTGTGTGTGTGTGTGTGTGTGTGTGTGTGTGTCTGTGTGTGTGCAGGATTGTCCCCCTAGCTCGGAGGATTTCAGAGAGATGCAGTGTGCTGCCTTCAATGACAGACCATTCGTGGCTGGGAGCTCCTTCAAATGGACCACTTTTCATGGGGGCAAGTGAAGACAATTCAGTGTTAAGCTGCTGAGGACTTGCTGTTTGGCAATACAATGTTTTTACAGCTGTGGTATGGATACAAATGTGATTCTTCTGCAATACAAAGTGGTTAATTCTTGTCAATATACTGGCAGGAGATAAATACGGATAAATATAGTTATGTCAGAACAAAGTTAACAAACTTGTAATGCTTTAGTAAAGCAATCTTATTACATAATGATGTGGGATTTCTAACATACACTGATACTCTTACTGTTTAAAGCTACCCATAGCTACCAGATTGTGCAATGGTTGACACCCTTCCTTTGTCCTCTAAATGGAGCCTTCTTTTTCTTGGGAAATTGTACTCGGTGGCAGACAGGATTGCACAGTGAATTTGATTTGATTCAGTTCAGGGACCTGCGATCGATATCAGACCACAAGTAAACAAACTTTTTGTATTGTTTTGCCTGCTTGCCATTATCTGCTCAAGCCACTAGCAGTGTGTGAATGTTTAGGAAGGAGGTGTATTTACAAAACAATGTATAGACTCAGCTGTGGCTCAAAGGTAGAGTGGGTCGTCCACCTGCTGATCTGGAAGATCAGTAGTTCGATCCCTGGCTCCTCCAGTCTGCATGTCGAAGTATCCTTGAGCAAGAAACTGAACCCCAAATTGCTCCCAATGATGCTTCCATCGGTGTGTGAGTGTGTTAAAAACTGAGTAGCAGGTGGCACCTTGTATGGTAGCCTCTGCCACCAGTGTATGAATGTGTGCGTGAATGGATGAATGTGACTCGTGGTGTATAAAGCGCTTTGAGTCGTTGGATGACTAGAAAGGCGCTATCCAAATGCAGGTCCATTACAAAAGTTATCCCTTTCAGTCGTCACTTTTGACCCACTACAAGTGTGTGGCAGTGTTTGTATCTGCAGAGACTCTGTCCTTTGCCTGTATTGCCTTCTTATTTTGTTGTCTTCAGGACAATCTAGAAAACAGTGTGCAGGTGAGACTGGGGCTTTATAAAAAAGGTTGCAACCAGTTGCCAGAGTGTAAGAAGCATGCATCCAAGAAGAAGCTACAAAAATTGCGGACACACTGACGAAAAAGTGCAAATATTTGGAGGCCTGTGCTTGTGACAGCAAGAGATGTAAACTTTAATGGCTTCCTCCTCGGCTGAACTGTAATGTTAGCTAGCTCAGTTGAGCTTGCAGTCGATGCACACTTCCTTCTGCGTGGTGATACAATTAGTTCAGTAGAATGAAAATAGTTCCAACATGAAACTGCTCAAAACACAGTCTGTGGATTATCTTTAGTAACGGGTCAGTACACGGCAGTAGCTCAGTCCATAGGGACTTGGGTTGGGAACCAGAGGGTCGCCTGTTCAAGTCCCCGTCCAGACCAAAATATTGAGTGTGGACTGGTAGCTAGAGAGGTGCCAGTTCACCTCCTGGGCACTGCCAAGGTGCCCTTGAGCAAGGCACTGAACCCCCCAACTGCTTGGAGTGCCTGTCATGGGCTGCCCCACTCTGACATCTCTCCACTTAGTGCATGTATAGGTCCTGTTTGTGCATTTGTGTGTTCAGACCTGTGTGTAGTTGACAACAGAGTGAAAAAAAAAGTATATACATATATATAAATATTTCTGGAAAGAGACATTGCTGTTGAGTTTTTTGATTTATTTTTTTATTTTTTATTTTTTGGTGTTTTGAGCACCACAAGTGCCATCTAGTTCTATTATAATGGAGAGAAGATAGACATCTCCAATACTAATGTCTCCAACACTCAGGAACTCACACCAAAACTATCTAGACTGATAAATAGCACTACAGGTAAGTGGGAAAATATGTATTTTTGATTTTGGGGTGACCTGTATCTTTATGCCACAACCTTAAATTGGAGTGGAGATGAAACCCTGGACAATTTGTCTGTGGTTTGTTTGATTTTTACCTTAGTCAAGATATGACACTGCAATCAAACCTGATATCCACCTAGATTTTCTAACAAACTAAATAGTATTTCACCTTTCCTTCAACAGGGAGCAGCCATCTTTCAACAAACTCACTGGTGATGTCAATGGTTGTTTACAAGGAGTGCTCAGAACTTCAGACTAGTTAAGTGTTTTTACACTGAAGTTTGAGAGTTTAGATGAGATACAAAGAACCAGAAACCCAAGTTTAAAACCAACTGCCTCTGCTTTTTAAGCCAATAAGACCAAATATAGAGTTAAGACCTGTTTTGATGGAGTTGAATTACAGTGGCGACAGTGAAAGTGAAGAGCAGCTTGAACTTGACTAACGCTCCATTCAGTGTCCGCTTGCTGCAGCTGACAAACCACACCAAACATTTCTACATCCCAAATATGTGCTCTACCACCGTCTCCATCAAGCTGTTACAACAACAACATGAGATGCTTTTAATGTTTTATTAATGTTATCATGTTACAGCCATAGGAATCATTTTATTTCTATGGTTGCAGTTGTTGGGACCTGACCTCGTAACAGGCCTCCAATTAAAATATTAAAATTGCTATCATAAATAATAAACTATTATTAATAATAATTAGTAATTATGTTAAGTAATGTGACTTAATTTGATTTAATTTATGTGCGTTTACAGGCCACCCAAACAATGCTCCTCTTTTATGTCAGACTTTTCAGAAATGCTGTCAATCATCCACACTAACCACAACAAAGTTATTATCTTTGTGATTTTAATCTGCACGTAGACAAACAATTTGACTCTTTTGCATTCAAATTTTTAAGTTTACTTAACTTTATGAATTTAGTGATAACCCATGGCTTCTCTGCACATATTTCTTTAGTTGAGGATGTAGGGATTTCTGATCATTTCTTTGTCTTTTTTATTGTAAATGGTTTTATATAAGAGGATATTCCAAAACAAAAGGAACCGCTATCTTACTGCTGAAGTGGCTGCAAATAATCACAGCACAGAGACGGCATTGGTCAGGGTTGTTAATGACCTGAGGTCAAATACAGACATGAAAAAACTCTCTGTACTAGTAGTACTCGATCTTACTGCAGTCTTTGATACAGGCGACCACTCAGTTCTTTTAGCTAGACTTCACAATCTGGTTTGCCTCTCCGGTACTGTTTTTACCTGGTTTAAATCTTATATTTATGACAGAGAATTTTATGTAACAATGGATGACTGTTCATCAAAAAGCTATGAAAATAAAATGGATTGTGGTTCAATTTTAGGTCCAACACTTTTTAATCTTTAAATGCTGCCACTTGGAAACATCACCAGGAGGCACAGCATCACTTTCCATAGTTATGCTGATGATACACAGCTGTACATCGCCATGTCTCCTGATGACTCAGGGCCAAGTGATGCCCTTTTTAATGGTATTTTAGATAGTCTGGATGGCAGAAAACTTTCTTCAACTCAACCAGGACAAAACTGAAGTCTTAGTTATTGGTCTTGAAGCTCAGAGACAGAAACTCAACACAAAACTGCAAGAACTGGCACTACAACCCTGTCAACAGGTGAAAAACCTTGAAGTTACGTTTGATTTGAATCTTAGTTTTGAAACACATATTAGAAGTATAGCCAAAACTGGATTTTATCATCTTAAGAACATTGTCAGAATGCAACCGTTTCTCTCTCAAGTCAACACAGAGACACTAATGCATGCTTTTATTATCTGCAGAATTGATTACTGTGATGCTCTACTTTCTGGTCTTCCTAAAAAAAAAACTTTGCTCAGTTGCATTTACTTCAAAACTCAGCTGCACGTGTGCTGATGAGGACCAGAGAGAGAGCACACATCTATGGAAGCATAACAGTTTCATCATCAGTTGAAATTGAATTTATAACACTGAATTTTTTTTGTATTGAATTTATAACACTGAACTTTTTTTGCATTGAATTTATAACACTGATTTTTATTTACATTGAATTAATGTATCAGATTTTTTTTGCACTGAATTTGTGTATCTGAATTTTTTTTTGCACTAAAATTTTGTACCTGATTTTTTTTACTTTTGTTTTTCAATGTTCACAAATTCAGAATAAAAAAAATCAAGTCTGAAAAAATTGAAAATATAAAAACAAATGTATATTTTTTCAAACTGCTCAAATTCAATGTGCTCAAATTCAGATGCAAAATTCGCTGTAGATAATTTCACTGCAAATCTGCTATCCAAGGAAGAGCAATCGATTGTAGATTGAGTCCAACCTACATCCAGCCAATCGTGTTACGCTCCATTTGTCATGTGTCACCAACAAAGAAAATGTTGAAGTTCTAACGCGAACCAGAACGCTTCGGTGAGTGTATTAACTCTTATTTGTCATTTGTGTAGTTGTGTAAGATTCAGTATTAGACAATAACAATTATAATAATAATAACTAACAGAATTTACCGGACAATACGTGTGCTGAACGAGGTGGCGTTTGGTAAAACTGTGTTAGTAATGCTAGCTAACCATTAGCATCAGGACGTCACCTGTTAAAAACCTCTGGGGTCAGCAATGTCTCATATGAGATGACAGTTTTAATTGTTTCATCACATACATTATTGTCCAAAGGTTACAGTTCTGGGGCAGTGATTTTGACCTGTTGAAACCGCACAGTAACTCACCTCCAGTCAATTCATTGAGGGGGAGAGCAGCAGAAAATAATCTGTTTTGGTCACGTCTGGTGGCAACACGGCTTTAAAAACGCATTGCTTTTTGAGGAGCTCCTTGATCTAACAGGTGTGATGGTAGTGAGAGCGGTCTCACTTTTAACTGTAACGAAACTGTTTATGCTAATTTAAGTTTAGTAACATGTAGCTTTTTGAAATGTAATGTTTGTGCTACTGATCTGTAATATTCTTATTGTTTGTGCTGTATTCATGATGACAGGGTAGTCACGCTGATATTGAGCAGTCTGCCCGGCACCTGCTAAGCTTGATTACATCATCTGGGACACAACTGGGCACATCCAGTGATGGCACAAATCAAAACACAAGGTTCAGAATTAAACTTGCATTCATGTACATATTTTATTAACTTATCAAT